TTGAGCTGCTCCAGGATATTGTCCACATCGTCGAAGTCGTCGATTGATTCGTCGAGGTCCTGGTCTAGAAGCCCGTTTCGTCGGAGGAGCTCCTGACCCAGAGTATACAGCTGAGCCAAACATTGGCTCGTCGGCATTAGGTGTAAATGAAGAACATGTAACGTGAAGCTCGGGTTGTTCAGTAATTCGTGCTCTAGCTGGGCAACGAGGACCAGGTACTCCTTGAGCAATTTCCGGATCGTCGCACATAGCGCATGGCTGACTGCCCCGTATTCTGCGCGGCTCTGTACCTCCACAAATGATTCTAGCGCACTGTAATGAGTCGCTATCTTCAGGGTCGATTGTGTAAGTTCCTTTAGGGTCGGGTCCATTCCCGAGGGTAGCTGGAAAGCAGGTCCGGTCAACCTGTCCTTCTCCTGGGACGGGTCATATGACCTGTAATGAATGTATTGGCCCTCAAATCCCATAAAAACGTATAGCAAATCCTCCAGTATCGCCCTTTCCTGCGCATCGGCTGATAGCTCGCGAAGCGGAGTTGGTTGAAGCGATTGAGGCAGAGCGGAAGCCAAAGGAGGAAACGATACTCGACTAGCTAACGGTGCTGTGGAATGGGGCATTAACGAAGCCTGAGGGTTCCATGGAGCTGGAGCAAGATATAGTTAGCGCGCGAACATCTCTCTACCTGCCAGTAGTTCAAGGAAGTGAGACTGACTCTCCACTGGTTGCTTATCCTTCTTTCGGGAATTGGGACTGGCCCCCTCGGCTTGACTCGGTCCTCGTTTCGATCGGGACCTCTCCATGAATTCACCTCTATTGCCTGCATTGGACGACTCCTTGACCGGGTTTCTCGTTCGAACCTGGGACTTGTCTCGCGTATGCATCGCCATTCGCTCGGTACGCTTGTCGCTAACGATAGGTTGTTGGTCGCGGGACGATCTGGTTTTCTGGCTGGAGGTGCTCCCGCGATGGTCTATATTCTCCGATTGCAAGGGGGAAGCAGCGCTGCGCAGACCGGGCTTCTCAGCGTCGGCGACGCGGTTGGACGCAACGCGGGGTCTCGGGGCGCTCATGTAGCTGGCGCGACGCTCATTGACGGACATGGTCCCGCAAGGTCGAGGAAGATACGAGGAACAATCATGCAGCCTGTGCCACTAACACCATTGAATGAAGTAAACAGAGTGTAATTCCAAATCCTGGGGAGAAAACAGCAACCATTGGACCCGGACTACACGTCCCGAAGCCGTAGTTTTGGGTTCCATCCGGGCAAAGCAAACAGTCGGCCGTGGATGCCTGACTGCGGCCTGGGGCAGCGACCGCCCTCTCCGCCAGGCACTCGCCGGACTTGCGTAGACAACCGCAACAGCTTCGCCCGAGCTTCCCCAAGAGCTGCTGCCAACTCTACCCTCCTCCCTCTATCTCCTACATCCCAATCTCGTCTTTCTCCCCCATTCTTCCCTACCTTATCTCCATCTCACTAATTGTCATCACATCTCCCACATAATCCAACATGTTCATTGCCCGCTCAGAATACGGTAAGCTCCGTCAGACCTCCCCCTCTGATGCGGTCATCTAACTAACAGCTTTCCTTGACAGACCGTGGAATCAAGTACGACTCTGATGCCCCTTTCCTGCATAGCAATGCGAATACATACAGTATCTAACCATGCGATAACAGCACCTTCTCTCCGGAGGGGCGTTTGTTCCAGGTCGAATACTCTCTCGAAGCTATCAAGCTGGGTTCAACAGCGATCGGTGTACGTGCATCCGTTCCTGCCCGATGACATCTGAAGCCGCTCGAAGCCATCAACTACATTCATAACCTTCAATAATTCTAACATAGCTCTAGGTCGCCACCTCCGAAGGTGTCATCCTGGGTGTCGAGAAGCGTGTCACCTCCAGCCTCCTCGAGGCCTCCTCCGTCGAGAAGATCGTTGAGATCGACCAACACATTGGCTGTGCCATGTCCGGTCTGCAGGCAGATGCCCGGTCCCTGGTCGAGCACGCCCGTGTCGAATGCCAGAACCATGCCTTCCACTACGCCGAGCCGTTGAGAGTCGAGAGCTGCACCCAGGCCATCTGTGACCTGGCCCTGCGATTCGGAGAGACGGGAGACGACGAGGAGAGCGTCATGAGTCGGCCTTTTGGTGTCGCCTTGCTGCTTGCTGGTATTGATGAGGATGGTCCGCAACTGTACGTTGGGTGTTTTCCTGCTTACTCACCGGCGGGGCAGTGAGACAGTTACTGGGAAAGTGTGTACTGATTGATTCTGCTTATTTTAGATACCACGCGGAGCCGTCCGGAACGTTCTACCGATACGATGCGAAGGCTATCGGGTCCGGAAGCGAGGGTGCGCAGGCGGAGCTGCAGAATGAATACCATCGTTCCTTGACGCTGGGTGAGGCAGAGACTCTGGTTCTCAAGACGCTGAAGCAGGTCATGGAGGAGAAGCTGGACGCGAAGAACGTTCAGCTCGCTAGTGTGACTAAGGAGAAGGGCTTCCGTATTTACGATGATGAGGAGATGGGTCGGGCTGTTGCGCAGCTGGGCAGCAACCAATAAGGGAGGAGGGCCTCTAAGCATGAAGATATAATGGGCCAACGAGTATATCAGCAATAGTTCGTCCTGTCCGGACTGGTAATTGTCTTGGTATCCATAGAAAAGAACAACGACCTCGTCTAATGACTTTGAATGCTTAAATGCCCCGGCCTTCTTTTAATTGCAAACTAACTTTTTTCTAATGACCAAACAAGCAGCCGATGATATCATAGTATATACAGATGGCTAGTAATTGTAACACCCAAGTTCCGATCACAGCTATCTACTACCGGATCTTGTAGACACATGGCTTGAGAACAGCGGCCTCTTCCTCCGCAGTCATCCCTTTGTCAGCGAGGGCCGACCTGTCAATGAACCTCTTCTTTCCAGGACCAGCAGCTGCGCCTGTCGTCGAGGCATATTTACCCTTGGTAGGAGCACCACCCGCCTTGACAAACTCCATCTTCACAAACATCTTGTTGGACTTGTCAACTGACTCGGGCTTCAGAACGAAGCCTCGCGTGCGGAACACCTCCACGAAAGCAGAAATATCCGTCTCATCGTCATTGTCAGCCGGACGAGCGTCTTCAGCATAGATATCTGCGTCATCAACGTCGGAGCCTTCATCGTCACCAGCCTTCTTCTTGAGCTTCTTCTTCTCTGACTTGCTGAGCGGCTTCTTCGCTCCAATCTGTGCCTTCTTGCGGTGCACCTTGCCAAAGCGACTCTTGACTTCACTGACCCAACACTCGCCCTTGCCGTCACTGCGCAGGACCCGCCATGCTTCCTCCACGAAAGAGACCCAGTTGGTGCCCATCAGACTGAGACAGAAGACAGTCACATCGACAGAGCCGTCGGCTAATGGGAGGTTGGAGATGTCTGCCTTGGTGATCGGAGAGCCCTCGGGGGCGTGGAGATCGTAGCTGAGAAGCTTGAGGTTCAGCTTCTGGGCGGAGGGCAACAGAGCGCGGGCGAGCTGGGCATCACCGCAGCCAAGGTCAGCAATGGTGCACAGTCCATTGGGCCGACGAGGGAGCGCGAGAGCGGAATTCCGCTTGTTGTCAAACTTTCCTTTCTTGGAAGAGCCACGAACTGCCCCTCTACCGCGGAAGGCCTTGATGTAGCCATCGACGGGGTTGGAAGGCCAGGACTCCTTGACCTGGCGAGAGAAGCCGGCGTGGTACTCGTCGAACAGTTCCGGGTTCGCGCTAAAAAGCTCAAAGGCCTTGGCAGAGGGTGTCGTGTATAGCGTCTCGTTCAGATGACGGAAACGGGATGAGATCAGCTTCTGTCGCATAGCTTGTTGGAGGGGAGTAAGAATGGCCTCTGTTTTCGGTGGAGCGACAGGTAGGGACTCGGCAGCTGGAGTCTCAGTTGAAGCTTCTTGCTGCTGATCCTTGTTCTTGTTCTTGTTCTTCCTCTGCTTCTTGTTGGCGGGCTTTCCTTCCTCCCCGGTAGTCTCGGTCTTTTCTTTGGGCTGCTCTTTCGTCGCCTCGCTCTGCTTTCCCTGACCATCTCCACCCTTCTTAGGCTTCTTATCAGCCTTCACGGCATTGTTGTTCGCATTCTGCTTCTGGCCCTTGGGGGTCGGTTTCTGGCCCTCGATATGCCGACGGTACATCTCATCGACATTGCCCTTGGTGACATGATCTTCGCGCTTGCGCTTCCTGTCCCTGTTGTTGATGGGGGTACTATTAGCCCCAGTTGAGCTCTTGGACGAAGATTGCTTCTGGGACGCTTCGGCCTGCTGCTGCTTGAGAGCAGAGGTCTCGAGGGACCAGCCTGGGACGGCGAACATAATTGTGTTCTCAATGAAGTCCTTCACTGCAAAACTCTTCCCAATGATTCGGCTCTCCCTGAGGAAAATCTGGTGGCTCTAGACCGGAAATATCGGCGTGGACGGTGAGGAGAAATCCCAAAAATTTCTGGCAATAAAAGGCGGAGAATGGCAGCGGGCGGCTTTCTGCCGTATCGATTGGGGCGGTCAGAACAGTAGGTTACTAGTACACCATTCCCTTTTTGGAATGTATTGCGATCTGGGGTCGTGATAGTCAGGTGGATTTCAGCCTCCCAGTTCTGGCTATAAATCTACTCGGGGTAAGGGCTTTGTTGCTGTACATGATCTTCGTTTGGTGGCTACCTTACACCGTGATCGATGCTCTGGATATGATGGAACCGTCATGGCTACTCATAGATCATTCGATCATAAGGACCAAACATGGATCCGTTTGAAGGCGAAGACACCACCAAGCAGCTCCTTATGGTCATATACAACAGATATTATCAGCTTAATGACCTGCCCCTCGATATCAACTGTTCAAAACGCATTGTGAAGATGTGCTGACTTCCACCCAGCGGGGCAGCCTTACTGCCTGAGGTGCTCAATCTATGGATTTCAGCCAATCACACAACGCATCGGCTGGGCGGCAGAACTTCCCCATCGGATCTCCCCACGCATTATTCGCTGCTGCTCTTCTTTACACCCACAGGCTATGAGTCTCCACATCGGAATCCTTGACTCGGTACCTAGTCTAGGCGCCTTACAGACTATCGGTTGCTGTCTTGTGACTATGGAAACGAGCTTGCGCTCAATTCCCTGCCGCCATGCAAGCAACCGACCATACCCGGAAATCACTACAAGACCCATCTGCCAGTGGGCCAAAGGCCGCGCCGGGTCCTGACACTTCGGCGGAAGTGCAGGGAGACTCCACGACGGCGGTTTCGGGCAGTGGATCTACTCAGAAAGTGCCTAAGAAACGCACCAAGTCTGGATGTCTAAGTGAGTCTCTTCGGTGAGCGTGTCTTAGCGACTCGAGCTTACCAGCCCTACTAGCTTGCCGGCAACGTCGCATAAAATGTGGCGAAGAGAAGCCCATCTGTAACAATTGTATCAAGTCAAAGCGCGATTGCAAGGGCTATGGCCCTCGTCTAGTCTTCAAGGATCCCTTGGGCATTACTGGTACCTCCTCGCAACCGGCAGCCATCAATTCACAGACCTTCAATGTGCCACCTCCCAGCGAGGATATCAATAATGCTGTGTCCCAGCAAAGGCAAGCCTGGTCTGGCCAACCGGTCCTCGCTCCAAGGCCCGTTGCAACCGCAACTTTGGAACAGTCTCCCCAGCCAGTCACAGCCGCGGCGCCTCATGAGTTTCAGCTGCAGCCACATACTCTGTCGCAGCAGGAATATCCAGTACTCCGTGAGCCGGCAGACACCTTGGCTTTCCTGGACCAACAACGGTCAGCTGGCTTAGAGCCGCGGTACCCGACTGATACAGGCATAATATATCCGCAAGCATCTTCTCGGGCACCCGGCGAGAGATTTGCACCCCCAAACTCATATCAGGTACTATCGAATGTTGAAGAAGAACGTGAGGACGATTATTACGATCTTGATACAGACGAAGAGAGCCATGAGCAGACCTTAGCACAAGATTACAATCAGCTCAGCCTTATCATGGCATCCGCTAATCGCGACCAGCAGCAGCTTCGAACTTTCACCACATACTTGAACGAGCCTAACATACTTACCTCTTATTCCCCAACTTATGGCTCCTCACCACTGAACAATCCGAAAACGGCACGCATTTTCTTGCATTTCATCCATTCGACCGGGCCCACTCTATCTGTTTTCGAGCGGCATCCAATTGATCCTTCCACCATGTTGGGGTCCCCGGTCCCAATGGCACAACAGGGACTCTGGACCTATACGCTTCCCCTTAAAGCCTTGGAAAATCAACCGTTACTGCAGGCCATCCTAGCTTTGAGCAGCCTACATATTTCTTACCTGCAACAGGCCCCGCCAACAGTTTCCCTGAAGCACTACCATTATGCTCTTAGAAGAGTCGGTGTCGCAGTTGGCCTACCCATGCGGCGCAAGCAGATCAGTACTCTTGCTGCTACACTTTTGCTAGGATACTACGAAGTAATGGGGGCCGATCACTCCAAGTGGAATAGTCATGTCGCAGGGTCGGCTCAGCTGGTGCGCGAGATTGACTTTGCTGGCATGACCCGTAGCCTGCGTGCTCAGCGGCGCAGGGTGTGGCTTGAGCGACATCATAGGGGGTCCTCCATTATATCCATAGTGGAACCCTCATATTCAGTCAGTTATGGTTCAGAAGATGACCCTTTTGCAGAAAAGGAACATGACATCGACGAAGATTTGATAGGCAGCCTTATTGGCCGGGCTGTCAGTTACGACGAGTTCGGACAGGTCGATGATGGTCAAGCCAGCTCTCGCCCCGAGAGACATTTTACTAGGAAAGACATTGAAAACTTTCGTATCCAGTGCGACCTCTACTGGTGGTATTTACAGCAGGATGTCATGCAGAGCATTATTAGTGGCGGTCCGTTATTGTCAGTAACATCCCCAATCTTTCATTGATGTACCATCAGACTGACAGTAGCAGCATTCCGTACTCTCAATGGGGACAGTGTCCCCCACGCGCCGGAATGGGTCGACTGGATGCTATATACGGCTCAGCGGATCATCTGTGGCTCTTGTTAGGACGACTGGCAGATTTTGGTGTTCGGGACAGAAAGCGGAAGCTGAGAGCAACAGAGGCTACGAGATCACAGTGGCGACCTGATTTCAGACTCGCTAGGTTCATGGCTCGTTTCACAGGGAGGGCGCCGGAACAGCAAGCAAGACCGTCGGCCGGTGGCCCTGTGCAGCCTCCTTCCGGTGCGCCAGCGGCTGGTCCGCCGTTCCATGGTATGGCTCCTCCCCGCGGACCAAGACATCCTCCACCAGCTTTTGTCGAATTTCCTCACCATGGCCATTACGATGATGAAAGCGCCGGGAACGGTTCATACGAAGAGGCTGAGGTTGAGTGGGAGAGTATGTTGATGGCACTCGACACATTTGAAAGCGCTCTCGGTCCGTATTTCATGCCTCTGCCTCCCGACAGTGTGACCCCGATATCGTCTCCTTTCGGGCCTGCTCTGCAGTACCGGACACATACTATAGCTGTTCTGTGGGGCTATTACCTCACCGGACGAATTCTCTTACATCGGTTACATCCATCAATGCCTCCTGCCATGATGGTATCTGCAAAGGTAGCGGCGCCGACTACGGCAGGATACTCACAGGCTATTGGAAGGATCGCGGCTGGGATTTACAATTCGCAAGTATCTCATTTAGACGCCGGGAGTCTGAGCCCGACACTCGGATCTTGTCTTATCAAGATGACCGTGCCGATCTTCTTCGCAGCAATCCAATACACCGACCCCGCACAACGAGATTGGGTCATAACAAGGCTGCGCAGCCTCTCCAAAAAGAGTGGTTGGAAGACGTCCGAATCTATAGCCAACAGTTGTGAGAATGCGTGGAGAGTCGCTGCGAAACAAGGCCGTGGACCTCCGTATGAGCGGAAAGACACGACCGAGTACGAACGGGCATCAACGTGGACACCACCCGTTCAAGAGACACCCTTGGGTAACCCCGGCGAAAGACGCTTTGTTACCATCGCCAGACGCCCATCAGAAGCCGGCTGGGCGATGGGACTTCTAAGCCTGGAAGATGACGTACTGAACCTCTCAATCGAGGATCGGGTATGATTACTTCGTAGTAGTTGCTGGCTGGCAAGGTTTCATTCAAGAATAGGCCAATAGATTGCAGGCCTGAATTACAAGTCAGTAGAAACGTTGTCAGTCAACGTCAAGCCACACGATCTATCAATTTTCTATTGACAAGGGCCCCTGAAGCAACCATGGCAACATCATATTTATTCCCTTGTCATCAAGGTGTCACAGACGACAGCATGACATCTGGATTGTGCTGTCTCCACCCCGTTCGAGACCTGCAACGGAGCTGCCGCTGTCAAAGTCACAGTCACTAATGGTTCGTCGCACGAAGCCCTCCAACGCAGCCTGAGTACAAAGTATATGTGATGTATCCACCTTGAAAAAGAACAATAAAAAAAGAAGAAAAAGGAATGTCGCCACCATTCTGCATGGGCTCGACCGGGCTCTGAATTTCATACAGGACCGGTCGAACGCATTACGCCACTGATCCGCACCGCCCCTGCAGAGAAGGATGATCTCGTCCCCTTCCCCCCTTTGTATCTGCAGGCTGACAGGCCCTTTTCCATGGTGCTCTGGTTCGGTAAAGTCCGTTTTGGAACCACCTGGCGAGATCTGATTCCTCGCATGGCCCTGCACGTGCATATGCATGCAACTAGTCAACTGTCGGGTCAGATGTGATCTCTCTATTTTTTTACCTTCCGTGTCTCCTCTTGTTCGAGACCGAGTCTAGAAGAGCAAAAAGAAGTTGTTGCTCCAGAAATATACATGTTAGTAAGGCTGAAATTGGATATTGATTGTATGTTGTTTTGTTTCAGATTTCTGGTTGATGTTGCTTTTTGTTTTGGTTACTGTTGCGGTGGTGTCATAGGTTGATATGCAGATGCAGGGTATTTAGTGTGACGGTCTTATGCATGATAATAATAAAACTACGTACTACTGTGCACAACCATCATGATATAATCCCTGTTTAGTCTTTGTTGCCAGATATGATCTGTGTCCTTGTCTTAGAACTATTGCATACTTATTAATGAACTTCATGCGAGGATCAGGCGCTAAATATAATGTTCTTTTCAGGCATACTTCACATGTAGTAGAAAATGTGATGCAGATCTTGAAACTGGCCCAAAAGTTATATTAGTACTATTGAAGTAGTGGTAGCGGTAGCAGTACTGGCCGGTGCTGGTGCTCGAAGGTCCCTTGTTAACGAAACCAGAGATACTTATGAGAAGCAGGCGTGGTGGCTACAGAATACAGTTATGTCATAGTCATGATCCTTATCACTGATAGTATTGTGTTACGGCTTGAATGGTTTCCATATTGCGAACTGTACTACTCTACTTAGTATTAGAATTGACAGTGGGTCAATCGGAATATTTAACTGACTTAAATCAATGAGTTGCCATGTGATCGAGGTTCGTGAGTTAAGACGGACGATGCTCAATAGTATGATGCGATATCATACATAGTAACACCTACTCCTAACTACTACTGCTAAAATAGTGTATAATGTCTTCCAATACTACTAAATCAAGAGCAAATATTAGTACTAGTAGTTAGAGATGATGCATCTCTCTTGTCGTAACGAGCATACTACTGAGCATATAAAGAGGGATGGAGAGAGATGAGCCCCGGTCTTGTTGTCTGTCTCGAGGTAGTGATAGTATTAGGCTGGACAGTCTTTATTGGCTGGTGCTACTATGAAGGTCCAATTTAATCTTATGATGGAGACAGCATATCCGGGCTATCAAGTATATATATGTCGTACTAGTACTATTCTTACTCGCTCAGTAAGCTCCTGCTGAATGTAGCAGCGACCAGGCCTGGATATAGGAAAGAATTTGGAAAAGAAGTAAGTATTGAAAGTTCTTGACTGTTCGAGGACGCTTGGGGATTAGTATTGGATAATGTAAAACGTAGCATGCGAGCCTAGAGGGGAAGGCAGAACTGGTTTTGTTCTAGCAGAAATCCGAGTGAGTGCAAGATAACACGTCAGCCCAATTGCCAAATTATAGTGTGAGTGGTAGTGATAGCCAAGTTTGGCTTGATCTGGTACTGATGAGGAAAGAGGGCAAGCCGTTCTTCAACTCGTCATCGGCGCGAGAAATGTCATAAAAGGTATTGTCTGATCGCTATAGACTGTTGATGGCCATGACAGACTGAGACAAGAATGCTTGAATAGCTTGACAACGATGCTTGACAGCTAATGCAATTGACCGCTTCAAGCAACACGCAGCAGCCGGGTGTGTCCGAGAGCAGCCAGGCTCGGCTCGAGACAGGAGTTCCTTTTTCCAGTTTACGATCAAGTTTAGGTTCATTATCAGTATCACACGTTGGGCTCAGAGGCCCTGGAGGAGCCCGATTGACCCAAGTTATCCCGTATTAGGAATCCCGAGAGCATCACATAGGTAATTCGGCCGAATTTGTGGGCAAGAGCATACGTACCTTTCTGAGTCATGGCACATATTAAGCCACCAGGAAGGGTAATAGTGGCTACTCCACTTCACGCTTTCACTCTGACAACGCGGTATCAGGGAATGATGGGGTTGTACTCCGAAGTCTTCCGGGGGTGGTCTCGAATTACTCTGGCTGTGATGATAGGGGACAGCTGGAACAGCTGCCCACGCTCACCGCTCTTGTGTAGATTGTTTGCGACAATGCAACACTTGGATGTGAACTCGTATGGGCACATACTGTTGCAATCAGCTTTCATTCAATTGAGACATCCCTCCATTTGTCAGCCCCACGGACGGTGGATATCATGCACAAGGCATCAATAGGATAAGGCCATGCAAGAACGGCAAGCACTCACCCGGTAAATCTTAGGAAGTTTGTTTCGAGCGGAAAATAGCTATACGAACGGATATCAACCATGGGAGGGACATGGCTTCCGACCAATGACAATTATGAATGTTGGACTACAGGGGAAGACACAAAGGACAGCCGGTCGAGTCCTTACAATGCAGACCATAAGCTCCTAGGTGAAAGGCAATTATGACCTGGAGACTATGCATTGTCCAAGGTTTTGTTGATAGTATCAACGGAAATAGTAGTATGTCGAGCGTGTCCATCATTGGGCCGATCAAATCAAAAATCAAAGGCACTGCAGACTGTGGGGTCAGGGCATATCCCTGAGCTCAGTCTAGACCTGAAGCGATCTTTCCAGGATGGAGAAGCACAGAGAGAAATGAGAGAGCAGTGAGTGGTGAGTACCCGACGATAACAGCCATTGAGGAGGCGTGCAGGTGACTTGCCTGGATGGAGGCTTGGCGCAGGCGACAGTTGGCACCACCAGACTAGATTTGTTTTTCTTGGAGATGGCTTCGGCCTCGTTCTCGTTGGCTCCGCATTAGTGCAGATTAGGCGGGCCTAAGCCCTTGCTAGGCTTGCCATTATCGCGCGCCCCCCATGGCTTTATTTTTGACGTCGAGTCTGCAGCCAGCAAGAACATCAATCACTAATGGCTGCTCTCCGTTTCGGGAATCGAATGCATCCATTTGTCCTCCTTATGTTGAAGGAACCAATGATCCCTATTTTCCTTAGAGATCTCCGAGAACATTAGTCTCGAACATGGTCTTCTTCCCCTCACGTTGCCCCGCTGTGTTCCGTTTGGGTGTCCATTCATACCAGATCATCTCAGGTACTCATCAGCTTCTCACGAGTCACTTACCTTGGGTCGAGATCGTTCGAAACCCGCAGTGGATCAGTAAAAACGGACAAAATGGCTTCGCCAGCAGTAAGAAAGCCATGTACAAGTGGAGAGTTAACTTAATTGAGTTTCCAATAGTGTTGTTGGCGGGCGATCAGGTCAATGTACAGTTGGTCAGTTGCAATCCGCTCCGGATATCTGAGTGAGCATCAGGCCACTCAGAGACTTGTTATTTGACCTCTCTATCGTGATGAAGGCTATTATCGCTAAATGCAGTAGTCCACACTGGATGGAAGCTCCAGTGAACCAATCGACTATCGCGCCCCATCGCCAGTGAGACCCAATATGGGTCTCAACTGGTGGGAGTGGTATCTGAAAGCCAGAGGGACGTAAGTGGTGTCGGGGCAAGCTGGAATTCTCCGAAGTGTTCGGTCCATCACACTAGTATGACATCGCAAGGCTACCAACTATACGTGGAGGCAAATGTCATTGGGTCGAATAACCGCTCCCCTGAAGCGGTTCTAGCCTACCAGCAGCATGCGCTTAGGGTGAAACTCCTCCTGTTGAAACTATCTGGGCACGAGATCGAGCCGGGGGGTCGTGCAGGGTGGCTAGTGGCCCAGCAGCTAAAGAGGCAGACGCTCCATCCGGGTAGGATTTGCTCCCTCCCGCAGCGGCGTGATGCATGACGCACCCACTGCTAGAGGACAGCTGGACCGGCAGACCTGCACTGCCTACGCCCCGGAGAGGAGTGGTGCAGACCAGAATCGGGGCTGAGGAAGAGGGCGAGAAAGCGAGAGAGCCAGCCGGAGGAAGCAACGAAAGAAGGCGAGAGACCGTGGCGAATGGCTAAGAATAATCGGGACCAGACGCATACACGTGGGCCCGCCTGATCTGCGTAAGTTACAAGGGACTTTGGCTGTGTTTGGGTGGTTTGGCGGTTTTTTTGCGGTATCTCCGCTAACGTCACATTTGCCGGGGTTTTGTTTCGCATTTTTTATAGATGATGTTTTTTAAATTTTATTGTAGATACTAGATACGGTATTTATCAGTAGAGAGAAAGATTCGTCTGCATCGCGAGCCAGACATTTTTATACAAAAGCCAGTCCCTCCCCCACCCCAGAGAGATACTGGAACACACATACTACACTACACTACACCACACAAGAAGATCTACATCGCTTGGAGTTGACTATTTCACTCTCACACACGGTTCAGCAACAGCCCCGACGTCATCGCTCTTGTCGCAAATCCATCTCTCATCAACGGTTCTGCTTTCTTTGCGCTGCCCCGCCATATTTTTAATCAACGGCCCGCCCCAGTCAGCCGCTGCCGTCACCCACGGTTCGCTTGCAGTCAGTTCCTCTCCCTCTAGTATTCCCTATCAGGTCATCCACTCCTTCAATCCAAAACATATCACACATGTCTCGATACGGCGACTACCGTCGCTCTACTGGGGCTCTCGACGAGGACCATTATTCGCGGGACCGTGAGCGTCACCGTCACCGTCACCGTTCACGTGGACCCCCGGTACTCGAGCGCCCCCGCCGTGTCGAAGAGGATGATCGCTTCGAATATCGCCTTCAGGAGCAGGAGCGATATGGCCCCCCTGCCCGTCGCTCTGAAATATTCTACGAGGATGACCATATAGCCTACTCCCCAGGCCCGCTGGTCACCTACCGCCATGCCGAGAGTCCTCCCCCGCGCCCGCGCCTTCTGCGCCGACAGTCTTCTTTGGACACTTTCGACCGCCCAACACGCAAGGTCGATGAATATTACTATAGCGACTACCCGCCTAGAGCTCCTCCTAGTCCCCCGCCGATGCGAAGACGGGGCTCCTTCCACCGTGTTCGTTCGCCCGACTACTACGAGGAAATCCGTATCGCGGAACCAGACTACTATGGCGATGAAGAGTACCGGGAGTTCCGTGAGCGTGATCGGATTGTGGAGCGCCCACGTCGCTCAGTGAGTCGGTATCGTGGGAGAATGGTAGAGGAAGTTGACGTGGAGAAACCGTATCCTCGGAAAGGCAGAACTCGCATGCCTCGCAAGTTGGTTCACACCAGCGCGATCCGCGAGTTTGGCTATCCGTATGAGGAAGAGGTGTGTATATTTCATGGATACAAAAGTCGAGCTGGAAAAAAACATGGCCTGGGCCTTGTCCAACGCTAACCGTGGCTGCAGGGGAAAATGATCATCATCCAGGTTGCTCTTTCCAAGGAGCAGATTGACGAGGTCATCAGTCGAAGTCGTGAGATCAAGCGCATGACCGAGAGTAGGTTTCCCACGTGCTGGTCATCAAGAAAGCGAAGGTGCTGACGGTCTCTAAGCACATTATAAGCATACCTCTTCACCCTCTCCCATTCGCGACAGACATCGCGACCGCATAGTGGAAAAAATCGCCATGGAGAGTTACACTCCCCGGACGAGCCATGAGACTTTGCTCATCGAGCCATCTCCGTCCCGGCACCGGTCGCGGTCGCGCCATCACCATCATCATCACCACCACCATGGCGAGCTGGAGGAAACGAAAATAACCAGGACAGTCTCTCGGACACGAAACGTGTCCGTCCAGGGTCGCCCTCGCCGTCGGTCATCGCCCGTGCGTAGAATTGAGCGGTATGACGATGGAGCCCAATCCACTAAGCTTCAGTCCGGCCCACTTGCAATCGTTGTACGTCCGCGAGACAGTGATGACGATCTGCGGGAATACACGCAAATCGAGCGACGTGGCGGTGGAGAGGTGATCCGAGACACGGAGATTATTGGCGACGGCGAAGAAGAGGAGATCCTCGAGGTGAAAAAGGATCGCAGAGGTAGGATGAGCCTTGTCCGACGCAAGCGGTGAAGTGTAGATTCTAAGAGATGATCATAGGCCCGAGCTCACGGCTCATGAGAGCGATGATGGCGACTTTGACTTAATCCGGGTAACTGAACACGGACTCGGGGAGCATTTTCTACGACTTTCAGCCATTCCTTAACGATTTCGGTGTCTCCTTATTTTCATCTGTACTATATCATTTTGATTGCGATGACGACTTGTACTATGATTCGATTGGTGCGGTTGACGCCATGCTATTACGACGACGATAACGACAATGGGATTCTTGTTTGTTCATGGGCTTGTGCGCGTTATTAAGGTCTTGTTCCTGGGTTTGTTTGTGGATTGTGGGTTTAGACCATGTTTAATACTTATCAGGCCTCTTCTGGGCCTAGACAATGCAAGAAATGTGACCCAGTGGTGTCCGCACATTAGAGTTTGTCCAAGAGTAAGATATGTAGCAGTAAAGTAGAATTGTCCACATGATAACAGCCTGAGATAGCGATGCTGCCTGGGTGCCTGGCACATGCCGGCATGAAACCGTGGCGGTACCAGCGATACGAAGGCGGTGTCGCACCAATGAACGGAAAGTGGCCTCGACTCCGCGATCTGCACATCAACACCATCTTCTCTGACCCTCCTATTGCAGACTTCCTGCATTTGTATTCAGTTTAGATATATCGTGCTTTTTCCAGAAGATTTTAGTGTCCAACGACATCATGGATAAGTTCCAGGCGTTCGGAAAGAACCTCAGGTGAGATAACTGTTCCCCTCCGCAATAATTTCTCCGATTAGGAGACTGTCCGCATTTCCAGCGGCACTCCGATGCTGTCATACAGCCAAGACTGCAAACCAAGCATTTATACTAACATGCTATGTCTTATCGAACAGCGCGAGCTTCTCGCCCTTTGCTGCGCGCACTCAGCAGATGATCAAGGAGCAGCTTGGTCAGGCCGATGACCGCACTCAACTCCCCGATGAGTACATCGAGCTGGAGAAGCGGGTGGATGCCCTGAAGATTGTCCACCAGAAGCTTCTTCAAGTGACGTACGTTATATCTTCTCCCCTAACGCTTCATCTCCCAGTCAGCTAACATGTTGACCTCATCACATGCAGTTCCCAGTACTCCAACGAGGCCTATGACTACCCGCCCAACATCCGCGAATCCTTCAACGACATGGGCCGCACCATCAGCGAGAAGGTCCAGCTCCTTTCCCAGGCCTCCTCTCCCGCTGAGGCTCAGGCTGCCCTGACTGCGCCTCCCTCGGCCAAGCCGCAGCCCAAGACCTTTAACCACGCTATTGCCCGCGCCTCTCTGGCAGGTTCCCAGACTCTGGCGCAGAGCTCGCACGGTGAGGACCCTCTGGCTACTGCGCTGGAGAAGTACGCTTTGGCGTCGGAGAAGGTGGGCGAGGCCCGTCTGGCCCAGGACGCTCAGATCCAGTCCCGCTTCTTGGCTGGCTGGAACACCACTCTTAACACGAACTTGATGTTCGCCGCGAAGGCACGTAAGAACGTTGAGAACGCTCGTCTTATGCTCGACTCGATCAAGGCGAGCAAGAAGGCCGCTGTCAGGGGTGACTGGGACAGCCTGAGCGAGGAGGCTCGTGCGGAGATTGAGCAGGCGGAGGATGAGTTCGTTGGACAGACCGAGGAGGCTGTGAGCGTGATGAAGAATGTATGTTGTTTCATCTGGGTGAAAGAAATCTTGAAGACTGACAGACTGTTTCAGGTTCTCGATACCCCCGAACCTCTGCGGAACCTGGCCGACCTGATCGCGGCACAGCTAGAGTACCACAAGCGGTCTTACGAGATACTCAGCGAGCTGGCTCCTGTTGTCGATGGCTTGCAGGTTGAGCAAGAGGTATGATCGATTAAAATTCACTGGTGGTCTTTTCATCGTGACTAATTGGCATCTTCCTGCAGGCCAGCTACCGTAAGAGCCGTGAGGGCGCGTAAATCGGTTGTTGCTGGAATTTGTCGCCATTGTTTTGTTGCCGCTTGTTATTGGAAACTAGCCTCGTTAATTCACCCTGTTTGTCTTGCGAAATTGTTCTATATCCCTCGATGTGTGAATACGTGGGTTATTGACTGCTTGAAGCGTAAACCATGCAGTGTATATCGTAGACTGATACAGTCGATGCATATCAAACTGACATTCGCCTACTATACCATTAGCCCAGATATCTCATCATAGAGATATCCTCGAAATAACCCTGCGCAACGGCATACATTAGATATACTTAATCTCGTATCTTACCTAACCACAGGATAAAACTCACTTGCCCAAAAATGTACCCAGGCAAAATAACAATCTCGACATCCCTTCTGCGGAGCATAACCAGAACCTCCCCACAAATAAATCTTGCCTCAGGCACCAATCCCGAGCAGCGGCGCAGCTCCGCCGATAACCTCCCTCTCGATAACCACGTAACTCCGTCCCCCGTTCCGACCAGCTAGCTGCGCGACAATCCAGTCCTCCACCTGCCACTGCGACCCTACCTCCCTCCAGCGAACTATCCAGACGAGCGAATCTCGGCTTCCACATTCGCGCCGTTCCACCACCCAGCCTGCGAGTCAGCTATCCAGCTATCCAGCTAGTCAGCTACCCACCGGTCCTCAACCTACACCCTCCCCCAGACACACCGAAGGGACATACAAACAAGAGCGAAAGAGAAGAACAAGAAACAGCAAGGCTGGACCTGCTGTACATCTACCATTCCCCGGAACATATACTCGATCGATTCGATAGATCAGAGCAAGAAAAGACAAAATGGCGAACGGGTATGTTTCTGCTTGGGTGTACACCCTACCTGTCTATAGAACTGGATGATTATTTATCGATGCGCCTTTCCCCAATCATGGCTATGATATTGCTAAATGGAAAATATATACTAACGATGTGATATTCTGGAATGATAGTTGGAGTTTAATCATCGGCCTCATCTTCGTGGTGGTTGCTTCTGTCCTGGCGTGGATCTTTAGTCCTAAGGGGGAGAATCAGACGTGCGTGCAACATACATTTCTTTCTCTGTCCTCCCTCAATACATTGAAGGAGGTAGGTGGATTAAGGGGTTTACTAATTTGTTGGGGATATAGTGTCTTCCGGAGCACGCTTGTGCTTTCTTTCGTTTGTTGTTATTTGATGTGGGGTATGTTCGAACTCAACACTCCCTTTTTTCTTTTTCCTTTCTTTCTGTTTGGTTTTAATGGGTTGGTTAATCGTGGCTAACGGCTTTGTCTTGTAGCTATTACATTCTTGGCGCAGTGGCATCCGTTGATTGTGCCGAAGAGGTCGGATATTCGGCCGGGGAGGGTACCGCAGTAGATCTTTTTCTGCTTTTATTGAGGACGGTGGCTGGATTGGCTGAGGGGGAGATGTTTAAGGGTGATATGATGGGAAAAGGATGTGTGGGATGCGGTTGAGTACTGGCTGCATACCAGGGGATGTGTGGATAAGGGGCCTAGGATGTGATTGAAGGTGAAATGGAGGGAGGTGATACCATGATATAAAATGTGGGATTACTGTATAGCTACGCTACTATATCTTTTGTCTTGTTGTTGCGTTTGGTTTGAATACCATTTTATCTATTTACTGTCTATGTATAGTATGGGTTTCTGGATTGTAGATGTTCATTACGAGTAACATGTGGTATGGTATATTACGATGCTAGGTCTGTCTATGTATGTATGCTCTTATATGATAAAGGTTAACCAACCCCAACTGCCCCCAATATCACCCTCTGTACAGTCCACCGAGCAGCCAACCCCGCCACCGCTAGTGCCACCGCGCGCAGATATCCGCATCCAAGCAGGATATACAATGCTTCGATATTGCTCAGCAGTACGAGATGCGTGTCCGCCGCGCCCAGCGAGAGCAGCGGTCCAAGCAGGTCAATAAAGCTAGCCAAATAGCTGGTAGGTACAGACTCGGGCATAATCCTGATAAGACTTTCCAGTAACGAGGACGAGCCAGGCAGGGAAGAAGCCTCTGATGCAGTCGGGTGAGCTGCGGTGAGAGTAGCTGCAGGGCCGATGCCGTTGCCATCTAATGTCTGCTGGATGATAGTTGTCTGGCTGCCGGCGCTGAGCAGGGTGTTGTTGGATCCGGAGACGTTGGACGCATTTCCGCTGCCGTCGGGGCCCCATATAACCAGGAGGATGGGGAAGAGCTTCGCGCAACTGCTGACGAGCAAGGCGGTGCTGATGGCGGTTGGACTGGCTGGTGAGGGGGGCGGAAGGGGTCTGATGCTCTGTGCTGGGGCGGTAGAGGCACGTCGGAGAGGTGGTGGGAGGGTGGTGAAAGATCCTTGGGGTGTTGTGGGAGGGAGATGGTGGATGTCACTGGTTGAAGCGCTGGCTATTGTTGATACATCGTTGGAGGAGCCTTGTGGGGTGAGCTTCGGTGGGCTTAGTGTCGATGCTGGAGTAGGCGAGAGCTGTGTTTGGCTGTTGTTGGTCTGTGACGGAAATGATGGGAGTATGGGTGTGGAGGGGTTGGATAAGAGAGGCGCTTCTGTTGCATTGCCATGCTGAGAAGAGCCAGTGTATCCGCGGGGTGTTGGAGCAAGGATCGATGCCAGAAGCCGGATGGTGAGGTGGTGGGCAAGAGTCGCTAGCGCATTCAGGCTCAGGAAGAAGAGGTATTGGACGATGATGGGCGCGCGCGAAAGAAAGGTAGTTGCGAGTGACGGGGATTTCTCAATCCGTGCCCATGTCAGGTAGACGTCGAATAGGAGCAGTAGAATCCCAAGACGGATTATGGAGCGCTAAGCAAACGGTATGTGTTAGTCGCAGTCTGCAATGTCGTAAGTGGATGTAGATAGCGAGCACTCACATCGAACTGGTTGTCGTCTCCCCCAAGCCGATTGAACAGTAGATGGCGATACACCTTGATGGTCGTCAGCGAGTTTATCACCCATGTAAGCAATTTACATACCTGCGGCTTGATAAGGACGAGATCAATGAAGATCACAACGAAATCGTGCTCGACGTATTTGTCCGCGAACCGCTGGCAGCGCGGACATTGCGTCAGACGCACTCCTTTACCCAGGGAACGGTCATCGGCGCGACTGTATGTGCTGTATAAATGAGAGACCGGATAGGAGCACTCGATGCAGATGGGCATCGTGTCATTGACTCCTTTTCATAGTGGAGGAGCCCATAGTCATGGGGAAGAATTACAGAACCCCGTGGGCGAGACTCCGATGTCCGCAGGAGATGCCGAAGGCGGTGAGTGAATACTGTATAGGATATTCCCCTTAAAGGCTTCTCTTGCACCGGGCTTTAACCATACGATAGGCTTTATTATTGTTTAGGACTCATACTGGATACGTCGATTCATCAGTGCTAATTTGGCTCGACAGTACTGTTATTCTACAGCTTGCTTCCTACCACAGGAATGGGTAGGATGTTGTTCCGTTGGCTCTGCAACCGCTCCGTTGTCGTCTTGAACAGACGCGGCAGCCCCGTCTGCTCATATGAGACTCCCTCGACAATCAACTGTGCGATACCCCGGGCTGAAAGAAAGACCTGCGGCATTCCATGTCCGGTGAAGCCGGCAACTATGAGCTGCCCAGGCTTGTTGGGAACATGTCCGACGTGCGGTAACGAATCGGTGCTATAGCCCATGACTATCTCAAGTTAGCACCTTTCGATACTATATCAAAGGTAGGAACAGCATGCGAGATGGGATACATACTTCCTGACCAGACCCGGTCTGTATATGCCCCGGTGTTTTCCCACCCATGAAAGTGTCTCTGCATATAGTTGTCGAAATACCGCACTGCCGCCTCAACCGTTCGGCTGTCATCGGTATTGTTATACCAGCTATCTCGGTCCTGATAATAGAAGGTCGACTTTGCTCCGCCTACAATGATACTTCCATCCGGCCGAGGAATGAGGTAGTCGTAATGCCAGCCATTGAATCGCAACATATACGAGTGTTCGAGCGGCGATGGAGGTGGATTGGGTACCACAATGCGGCTGCAGAATCCTCGCACTGGGATGATCTTGTCCTTGTACTCCGGTGCAATGGACGAAGTGTATGCGTTGGTAGAAAAGACAACCCATTTGGCGCGAATTGAGCCACGATTAGTGGTCACCGTCCATCGGCCTTCGTCATCCGGGACTTCAGACACTTCCGTGACAGGCGTGTGTGTCTGAAGGTTCACTCCCGCCGACACAGCTTGCCTCAAGAGATGCATAATGAACTTATACGGCCAAAGTCGGGCGGTACGCTGGTTGAAGCAAGCCAAGGCCCCCTTTACACCGGTTACCTAGGCGATGTAAGCCGTGCTGTTCTAGGTATGTACGTATATAGAATGTGACATACGGCCTCTGCCATTTCAGGTGGAGTGTATCCGACATCCTTGATCGTTTCCACGCCGTGAGAAACAAGATAATCATACCCGGCCTTGACCTTTGCAAGCTGGTCTTTGTCAAACTGTATATCGCAGACTCGGTTTACCTCTAGATCGCAATCGATTTGCTGCTTTTTAACCAGATCTTCAATAACGGAGACATGCTCCATCTCAAACGCAGCGACTTCAGCCGCCGCTTCTAATCCGTACTCCTTGGCCAGATTACCGATCCGGTTGAATACATCAGGCTTCAAGTGACCACCTACACGGCAGGGCCCGCCCTGCATTAGATTTGACAAGCAGTCTAAATATTGATACAGATGAGTACTTGCCATTGCGCCCTGTAGCCCCCGAGCATGCCTGTCGTGCTTCTAAGATCACAATGGAAGGCTGTTTTGCTGATACGAGTCGGCTGCGCTCGAGGCAGTGATAAGCAGTCGAAGCTCCAGCATAGCCGGCGCCAACGATAACGATGTCACTTGTTTCTGGAAGTGACTCTGTAGAGCGAAAGTTATCCAAGGGATCGGGTTCCGACCGCCAGAAAGATGTCAAGCTATGATCAACAGGGAATGGTTTAGCCATCTTGGATGCAAAGGAACGGTAACCAGTCCAATTCGCTGCAGCAGACAAAGCAGGAAAAGTATATTAAGTTACTACGATGTTGGTTTTATATACGGGGTAAGAGTATCTAGTATGGCTGTTGAGATAAGAATGTCTGCCAGCTCATCGATGCGTTGGTCGGCATTGGACAGAAGCGCCGACGGACTGCAGCGGAGTGTCTGTGCCTCGTTTCCGATATCTGCTAGCGTCGACAGGGGGCTTGGATCCGATAGTCTGGCAAGCTTATCAGATTGCATCTGAGCTGAAGAACCATGGCAGGCCATGATGGCCAGGGTCTGTTGTGCACGAGGTGTCTCCAACGTTGCATTCAATGCATGATGATGCCATGGTTGGAGAAAGCAGAAGGGTCAAAGACAGTAAGTGCACAGCCAGTTACTCCATTGACCAACTCTAGATGTTGTCCAGCATGGCAAAATATATCTGTGCAGAATTACTATTATAGGAAAACATGGATATCTCACAAGGCTACAAGTGATAGGTTGAGGTACAAGAGAGGAACATTCAAAGACTCAGTCCAAATAGGTACGTATCGGTAACCTCCACGGTAACGTGGCCCCCATCAATGGGGCCAGCCAATTACAAGTCATCAAAGTTGCATTGCACGAGCGCATGGACGCGTAATGATACCGTACCGCCATGACCTGCAGGAGCCTTTATCAGTACCTGTCCGGTATTGCCCGCTCATCTCGCACTGCCAGCTGAAGGTCAATGTGCTGCTGCCCCGCTTCCCTGTTGTAATGTTGGAACTGAAGGTCCTCACGGGAAATGAACTGAGGGTATCAAGGCATGTAGATGGGCGAGAAAAAAAGAATCAGCCATCAGAGTTACTCCAAGCGACGAAGAGAGAATTGGCATCAGATTTTTAGGTCTGGGGAAGAAGACAGTCCTTTCATTCAATCAATCGAGACACTCTCCACCCCCAGCCAATCACTCCTGACGGAGATCTGTCGCATTCCCTCCGCGTGTGGCAAACCAAACCAAATCAAATCAAACCCACCCCCTCGCTCAATGCAATCTCAATCGCACACAAACTCTGCTTGCGCGACTGATTGATCTCCCTTGTGCGCGTTCCAGAAAGACTCTCCCCGGTTTCTACTTGACGCCTGCCCAGCTCGTGTCATTAACCCAGTTCCTGCCTGCTTGAACTTTTCTTCCCATCTCCACCTCTCCTCTAGTAACTTGAGCTTCAGGCTTATCGGCCGCATTAAACTAAATCGATCCCCACCCGGTTTTCTAGGCTTTCCCGAGCACGTCGTACCCCTCGATTCCCTTTTCCGTCCCGTCTTTTTACCTTCCGGTCAACCCTCGGCCTTGATTCTGTCCTTGTCACGTTGCCTTTCTTTTCACCCTTCGTTTTTTCTTGCTCCCTGGCCCGAGTGTTGCGCCATCACTTCTCACACTGCCCCACTACTCCTCAACTCGCGTGAATACCTACATCATGTCCGACCAGGCCAACTCTCACTACCAGGAACCCATTAACGGGCTCAAGCCGTTATCAAATGCGGAAGGCTTCGACTTGCCTGCTACCGCCAGCGACCTGTCCCGCCGCGCGGAGCGCGCAGAGTTCTCATACGCCGATGGCCAGCCTCTAGGAGAGGCTGAGATTGAAGAGGATGACGATGACGAAGAGGAAGAAGTCGAAGGGGAATATGTCGCCGTGGACCATGACGATATCAACGAGTACCCTTACTGGTTCCGCCGCCCGCCCGTCCACCAACGCACAAAGTTGGACGAACTGCACCCGTTCGTGCAGGTTCTTACCGAGTCGAACGTGGAAGATTGCGTCAAGGTCGAGGAGGCATTCCCTGAACACGAGCGCTGCTCGCGCGAAAAGGTATGAGTGAGGTGCTGGATGCTATGCGCCAGTCAACCAAATTTGGTGGAGCTTGGGCTAATTGGGTTCACAGTTTCGTTATCGCCTGAGCAGATGCCCGGAATTATGTCTCGGCTTGTTTACTCTTCCAATCCTCGGTGAGGGCGAGCCTAAGCCTCGCCCGACGTTGGTGGGGCACGTCATCGCCACGAGAACCTCGAACCCTGTGGTGACAGATAAGTCTATGGAGCTACCGGCGAAGTGGCAGGAAGAGCGCATGACTGTGGTGGACGGAGAGACCGTCGGTCATGACGAGTACGGCAGCACGATTGCCATCCACTCTCTTGCTGTGCTGCCGGAACATCAGGGCAAGCAAGTTGGCAGCACATTGATGAAGGCATACATTCAGCGGATCAAGGATGCGCAAATCGCCGATCGCATTTCCATCATTGCGCATGGCCCCTTGGTGCCTTATTATCAGTCTTTTGGTTTTGAGAACCGCGGTCCTAGCAACTGCCAATTTGGCGGTGGTGGCTGGGTGAACATGGTAAGTTCTTTTTCAGCACATATTTGGTTGCATAAAGACCGAAGCTGACAGTCCACAGATCTTCGAGTTCGCCAAGGAGTAAGCGCTCGTGGGCCTGTTCTTTAATGCTACTGCATCTCTGGGGCATGGTGTTGTGGTTTTCTTTTTTGCTCCCTCCCCCTTATGTCGTCTTCGATTTCTCACGTTTTGTTCGTTTCTCTTGATCTTTTTTCACACTACCCCGTTTTATATGACGCATGCTATGGATTACACAGGATTCGGTCTTACTGGTGGGTTCATGATAAAAAGCAACGGCGTTTGTCGGGCTACGAGGGTTTAGGGACCGATGATGATGATGCTGGTATTATGATGGCCGGATTGAAGCACCACGGGATGGTTTGGTCAGGGCAGGCATATTTGTATCATAGTCCCCGGTAGTCAGTGTAAATGAATATATGGTATAGACATCGGTTCGAAGAATTAAGACATAAAGTTATAAGTTATAATCTAGTACTAATATGCGTAAGTACCCAACAGCTGCTGGCTGGCTGGCTGGCTGGCCGCCTCGCCTAGAAGCAAGTCCGAGAGACTCCAAAGGGGGGAAAATTCCCCACATTAGTCCAGCGCTCACCGCCCGCCAAAATCTGCCTCCGACCGCCCGGAATATTTTTTTTTCTTTTATCGCTCCAACGCAGATTTGCGCTTGTCCACCTCTTATTTACTAACCACGGGGTTTTTTTTCAAGAGTCGCCTGCTGTTTCGACTCCATCCCCGGTGCCCATCATGAAGACGACGTGGAAAGATGTGAGTGCTCCTCGTTGATTCCCGAACAAGTCAAACCGGTCGCAAAAACATTCGATCTGACGTCTCTTTTTCACCGCTTGATTAGATCGCTCCTGTGCCCACGAGCCAGGAATTCCTGGACATCGTCCTCAGTCGCACTCAGCGACAGCTCCCTACCCAGATCCGTGCTGGGTTCAACATCAGTCGTATTCGCGGTAGGTCTTGATTCCTTCGCCGTTGGTGCGGGATGCACAAGCTTTGCTCCAAAAGCGGCAAATCAGAAATATTCGGGCTGAACTAATTAAAATTCTTCTCTGCCCACAGGCTTCTACACCAGAAAGGTCAAATACACCCAGGAGACTTTCTGCGAAAAGTTCCAGGCTATCCTTGATGGATTCCCCAGACTGCAAGATATTCATCCTTTCCGTAAGTCGCCTGCCTGCTCCTAGAGCTTCAAACCCCACTATCTCTTTCGCTGTTTCTCGGTCAACGACATATTCTGACAAATTCCCAGACAAGGATTTGATGAACACCCTCTACGATGCCGACCACTTCAGAATCGCCCTGGGTCAGGTTTCGACTGCTAAGCATCTCATCGAAACGGTCTCCCGCGACTACGTCCGCCTGATCAAGTATGCTCAGTCTCTGTTCCAGTGCAAGCAGCTCAAGCGCGCTGCCCTTGGTCGTATGGCCACCATCTGCAAGCGTCTCAAGGACCCCCTTGTCTATCTTGAGCAGGTCCGTCAGCACTTGGGTCGTCTGCCCTCGATCGACCCCAACACCCGCACCCTCCTGATCTGCGGTTACCCCAACGTCGGAAAGTCCAGCTTCCTGCGCAGCATCACCCGTGCCGACGTCGACGTTCAGCCCTATGCTTTCACCACCAAGAGTCTGTTCGTCGGTCACTTTGACTACAAGTACCTGCGTTTCCAGGCCATCGATACCCCCGGTATTCTGGACCACCCTCTTGAGGAGATGAACACCATTGAAATGCAGTCCATCACCGCCATTGCCCATCTTCGGTCCGCGGTCATGTACTTCATGGATCTGTCCGAGCAGTGCGGTTACTCCGTTGGCGATCAGATCAAGCTCTTCCACAGCATCAAGCCTCTTTTCGCCAACAAGATCGTTTTCCTTGTTGTGAACAAGATCGATGTGAGACGCCCTGAGGACTTGGAGCCCGAATACCAGCAAGAGCTCCAGAACGTCCTCAAGTCGGGTGATGTTGAGCTTCTGCAGTTGTCTTGCACCACCACCGAGGGTGTGACTGCTGTCAAGAACGCTGCCTGTGACAAGCTCCTCGCCGAGCGTGTGGCTCAGAAACTCAAGTCCGGAACCAACAACGCCGGTACCCCTGGTGGTCGTCTGGGTGACGTCCTTGCCCGTATCCACGTTGCTCAGCCCATGGGCGGTGTGCAGCGCGAGACCTTCATTCCCGAGGCCGTCAAGACGCTCAAGAAGTACGACAAGGACGACCCCAACCGCCGCAGACTGGAGAGGGATCTCGAGGAGGAGAACGGTGGTGCTGGTGTCTACAACATCGATCTCAAGAAGACCTACGATCTGGCCGACGACGAGTGGAAGCACGACAAGATCCCCGAGGTCTGGAACGGCAAGAACATCTACGACTTTGTCGACCCCGAGATCGAGGCCAAGCTGGCTGCCCTGGAGGAAGAGGAGGAGAAGTTGGAAGCCGATGGCTACTACGAGTCCGACCACAGTGTCGAAGACGTGGAGGATGCCGATACCCGTATGAAGGCGGATCTGATCCGCGAGAAGCGCACCCTGATGCGCAACGACGCCAAGATGCGCAAGTCCCTCAAGAACCGGGCGCAAATTCCTCGCAGCGCCAAGGCCAAGAAGTTGTCCCAGATGTCGGATGCTCTGGATGCGGCTGGTTACGATGTGGACGCTGCCTCCTCCCGCGCTCGTTCCCACAGCCAGGTCCGTGGTCGCACGACCACCCGCGACGTGGACATGGACGATGCTATGGATGTCGATATGTCGGACCCGCGCCAGGCCATCGCCAAGGCCAAGGGCCGTCTCCGCAGCCAGGCGGCGACAGACCGTCGCAACGATGGTGTTGTCGACGAGTTGGCACGCACCAAGGCCGAGCGCCTGGCCAAGTTGGGACAGAAGAAGATGAACCGGATGGCAAGAGCGGGAGAGGCCGATCGTCACACGACTGCCTCTTTGCCCAAGCACTTGGTAAGTTCTATCCTCCGTCTATATCATCACTTCCAATCTGATATACTAACGTGTCTTTCAGTTCACCGGAAAGCGTACCATCGGCAAGACCCAGCGTCGGTAAAGGCATCGTCCGGATTTGGACGGTCGATGACGAGACGAAGTCCCTTCTTCTTAATACAGTACTCGATACACATAGTGGTCATGAAACATGGGTGTTCCAAAAAAGGGCGTTGGGGGTGTTTCCTTTTGTCGTCTTCTTCCTTTTCGTTTGGATGAATATAGTCTTCTCCTGAATACCTGGGGTTTATTCCCGCGAATCGATTGTTATGTTGCTGAAGAGTTTAGTTGTGCTTTGTGTTGTGGTGAAGGAAGTAGACTGTCTATAGAAGTATGATGAATGCGATTCACTGGCATACTATTCATACAGTTATCATATGTGTTTCCAACGTAGCAAGTTAACACGAGGTGTAGTAAGAAGATATGATGGGCTCATGGTAGTAGTTCACTAATGCCTCGATGACTCAATCTAGCAAAGCGACTTATTTGGGCAAGAAAAGAAGACCACTTCATTGTCTTAAAGTATAAGGAGGTGATCTAAACCTTCACCCCCTCCTCCCCTCTGCTAAGTACATGGCTTCTCTTACTACTTACTACTGACTGGTTGATCAACTACCACCACCTCTTCGTCCATCCCTATTTAACAACTTCCATACTCCATTCCTTCCCATCCCAACCCACCAAACCCAAACAGCCAACAGTTCAAATTCAAAACATACACATGCACATACACATACACCGACAAAGACCCAGTCCTAGTACCCCAAACACAAACAAACAAGTCAAGTAAGATGAAAAAACACTTACTGATCATTTTTCTTCAAGTACCAACTCATCATAATCATATCCATCTTCCTACTAACTCCAGCATCCACAAGCACTTGCACACAAAGATACTATCCTCATGGCAAAGGCGAACAGAAACAAGAAGAAGATGATGACTTCCTTGTCATTACTATGGATAGAAGATAATGAATGCTACTTACTCACTCTAACAGAGGAAGATGCTGGATAGGTACTATTCATGTTATTATTATTCAGTGAGTGAGTGGTTCGTGGGTTGGTTTCTTTGCTGGTAGTATGTGCTAGCTGCTAGCTATTATTTGCTGACTAGTGAGTACTTAGGTGAGTGAGAGAACTAAAGCGATGTATATACTTTGAGTGGTGTAATGAACATAGAAAGAAAGTATCTACTTATAGCTGGGGAATGTGCACGTGCTTGTAGTAGGTGTTGTTCTATGTGTTTTCTAGAATTTTTCTAGAAGGTCAGTAGAAAATGAGGGTACCCCGGACCCGCTGTGTAAAGCCGTTCCTGACTTCGTATTGACACCGAGGAAGTGGGTGTGGAGGACGCTATTCCGTGTATGGAGATGGTCGGATAATGAGTGCACTGATCAGTTTGGGCACGTTACTGTCTATTTTACTACATTACTAAGACGAATGAAAAATCTACTGGATCACAGTTTAAGGTTCATATGTACTTGTATTAATCGTTTCTCAATAACCTCAAAAAAACCAACGTCAACAGATGTATGCAGTTGCAGGTATCACCAAACGCCGATGTAGTTCCCAACCATGTCCTTTCCGATGAGTCAAGCCATTCAAACATTGCGTGCGTGGACGCTTTCATGCCGATGATAGCTAGATAGCAAATGCAATGCAAAGAGCAATCATGCAATTAAATAAATCAAAGCTTTAGATGCAGGTTCAATTTAAAAGAACAACGAGCAAAATGAGTTCGCGAGCGCGAGTGGCTTACTCGCGGAGCTCAGTGGGCTCGGTGTGCTCAGCCATCTCAGCCTGACCCTCCTGCTTGGAAGAGGAAGGGGGACGGTGCATGTCCTGGACAATGCCCTCCGGGGGAACCCAGCTGGCACTCTGCCAGGGCTTGACGTGGAGCACGTACATGGTGTCGACCTCCTCGAGAGTGCGACCCTGGGTCTCGTTGACAAAGAAGAAGACAACGAAGATGGCGGCGAAACAGCATCCAGCAAAGACGTAGCCGTAGGCGAAGTCAATGGAGCTAGAGATGAAGGGAGTGAAGAAGGAGATGAGGAAGTTCCAGGTCCAGTTGGCAGCGGTGGCAATTCCAATGCAGAGAGCACGGTAGCGGGCGGGGTACATCTCACCACAGATGGCCCAGACAATAGGACCCCAGGTAGTGGCGAAACCAACAATGAAGAAGCAGGTGAAGATGATCATGGCCTTACCAGCGGCAGGAGTGGCCTGAGGGTCGGCGAGATCCAGAGCGAAGTGACCAACGGAAGCCCAGATCATGAAGCAGATGAACATCCAGGCGGCACCGACCATCAAACTGTTACGACGACCGAAGTGCTCGACGACGTACAGACCGGGCAGGGTCATACCGAAGTTGACAGCACCCAAAATGATCTGAGTGACGTAGCTGTTGCTCAGACCAGTAGAGGTGAAGATACTGTTACCGTAGTAGAAGATGAAGTTGGCACCGGTCAACTGCTGGAGGGACTGCAGAGCAATACCGAGCAGGGTACGGTAGAACATGCGAGGGCCGGTGAACAGCTCGTGCCAGGCAGCCTGGCCAGCAGCCTTCTCCTCGTCGAGCTTGTCCTTCATGTCCTTCATCTCCTGGGCAATGCAGCGGTGGTTGGGGCCGACACCGTAGAGCTTGCACATAACCTCACGGGCCTCATCAACACGGCCATGGCGGTAGGCGAAACGAGGAGACTCGGGCAGGAAGAGAGAGCCGACGGCCAGAATCAAGGGCCAGGCAAAGCCAATGCCCATGGTGATACGCCAGGAGGCAGTCGACTGGATTCTCTCGGTACCGAAGTTGATGATGTAGGAGATGAAGATACCGAAGGCGACGAACAGCTGGAAGGCACTGACCATGGCACCACGGACCTGACGGGGAGCAGATTCACTCTGGTACATGGGGACAATGCTGGAGAGGGCACCAACACCCAGACCGGCAACCCAACGACCCATAGCGACCTGAACCCAGTTGGAGTCGGTGGCAATCTGGATGATGATACCGACAATGTGGATGATAGACCAGAGACAGATGGAGAGCTTGCGGCCCATGCGGTCCGCAATAGGAGCAGCAACCAGGGCACCAATCATAGTACCGATACACAGCTGAAGAGATTGTCAGTCGGGTTGGTCTCCATGGACAGTCCAGGATGTTGTATGCCACTTACCAGACCGACGATGAGACCACTACGGACGTTGCTGAAGGCATAAGAGCCATCAGCTTGCTCCTCACCGAAACGGCGGAGGAAGTCATCCATAGTCTCGAAACCAGAGATTTGACCTGGATAGTGGATGAAGGTTAGCAATCGAAGTGTGACCTTCTGTAGAAGATAGATGTCCCCATACCAGTAGAGTAACCGAAGATGAAACCACCCATGGACACGACGACACCCAGGATGAAGGAGCGCCAAGTCAGGTACTTGACGGGACTGTCATCGAGCATGACATGGTCCTTCTCGACGGCGGAGTTGGAGCGAGCAGGAGTAGGAGCCTCCGTGGAGGACTCAGAGTGGTCCGCCTGAGGCTTGAAGCGGGACATCATATTAGAGACACCCATGTTGCCGATGGATTCATTCAAAGCGGAATCCTCTGCCAGGGATGGGAAGATGGGAAAAAGAAAAGATTGATGGAAGTGAAAGACATCCAAAGGGCTGACAGACCCGGGGGAGATGGAGGGATATATATGGGGTCCGGGCAGAGGGGGGGAGGAGGGGAGAGGGGGGTGAAGAGGGCCGCACACAAGGATGAAATCGGTAAGTATGACGGCGTCAACAAGTGAATGCCACTAAAATGGAAGTGAAAGAATTTGACGCTCCATCCGTCGGCAATTCGCCTCCATCCCAGGGATTGGAGGGACCCCATCCTCGGGGTAGGACCATGGCAAGAAAAAACGGGGGCCCAGATCTCAAGGGCCCGAAGACAGGCGAACGAGGTGGGAGATTCGGAAGCTAGGGGGCGGAGAGTTCATTGGATGCTTCGAGAGCGTGTCTTGGAGTGGGGAGAGAGTGGAGAGAGTGTCTGGAGAGAGCCGGAGCAGGCTACGACAAACGGGGAGATGTGGACGGTGAGTACCTGAATCGGGGGGAATCCGTTTTCGCCAGCGGAGAAAAAGCGGATGGAGACGAACCGAGATGGAGAGAAGACTGGAGATTGGATGGAGTAACGCTAAGGAAGGAATGGAGTGGATAAGAAGCTGGAGTTCCTGACGGGAGGAATTGAAGATGGATGCGGGCAGGTCACGAGGGCATCACCTGCTTTTGCTTTCTGCTGTTATTCTGTTACCAACATTCTTGCCTCTTTCGGTAGATTCTTGAGTCGTGCCTTCCGAATCCTGACTGATTCTTCTACACATTCTGTATACCCCGTAAATACATACATCCATCCATACATACATACTAACTACGTACTATACTCTTTGTATACACTTTTATTGTGATAATGATGGTGATGATGATGATGCTGTCGTCCATCATGATATCTTCCATCCTTGTACGGAGTAAATTGTCTCCAGATCGGCTACACAGACTGTATCGCCACACTGTGACTGTGACACTGATCCTGAAGAAAAGGTTTTCATCTTGATCATGATGGCGGCGGCTGCTGCTGCTGATGATGACGATGATGGATGGTTGAATGGTACCGAGTCCTCCTTCGACCGAATCATAATCTAAAACATTAATTATGATGATGCGGCTGTTGTCGGGTTGGCAGACCAAATTCCCGTCACGAGACAAAACAATTTACGTACAACCATAACGGTTTGCATCATGGATCTCATTGACATGTTGACGTTACCCGAAGACCACCACATACTGCAATCCCAGTGGCTAAAACATCGCTGTCTCCGGCCATTCCGTGTCACAGAATGGAAGGGAAGGGAAGTATCTTGACGAAATGAATCAATGAATTGTTTGTTTGGAAGGAGGGGGGCGACATGGGCTGATCTCCACCCTCCCTTGATTCAAGTGATGGCCGGGTGCAGTAAGAAAAGCCACGCCTGCATAATATTAACGCGGTCTAATATTACTATCGCCCTGCCTCCCGCAGCCATGCAACAACCTTAGTCAGAACCCTCCTGGAACCTCAGCCCGCCTGCTGAACAAAGCATTGTTGACGAGCATTCATTTATGATCCACTACGTTCCTGGAATCTTCTTCGTTTCCATTACCTGTCTGTCAAATTTAGCAAGAAAATTTTTTCCTCTCCCTTCCTTCAGATCAGCCCCTGAGCCACCGAGAAAAAAGAGCTCAGTCGTAGTAAAGTTGCCGGTTCCGACGCAATCTCAAGCCCAAACGAGGGAGATCACCGGGCGCCAAGTGGGTCCAACCACGAAAGAAATTTTTTTTCTTTTAGAAAATTCTAATTTTGACTCTGCATGCGTTGGGATAATCCCTTCTTGGCTCTTGGCCGATCCCGAACTCTCACGAACACATGCTTTCTCACTTTTTGCCCGACCGTCAGCGGGCAAAGGGAAGGAGGAAAAATTGAAGGAGGGTGGGAAGTATAATCTCCTCCGACAATGCAGATGCAAGAGGTAGAAATTTTAACCATCAATCTAAATATCATCATAAGCAGCGACCGTCGCTGATAAGTACATGACACCTAAGCGGCCAACCTTGCTCACCGAGACCACTTCCAGTCTCACCGTCGTCCATCCCGAGCACTTCGGCCATCCGCCGACCCTCTCGGTTTCGGGATGCCTGTCCATCCAACTGCCTTCGGTGTGCCGATATCTCACGCTAACTACGCACCACTTCTCGTCCCTTCCCGTTTGGAGCTCACCGGGCCTGTGGATCTTCTGTTTAGCGTTGGCTGATCCTCTCCACCAGCGAAAATTGTCATCCAACCACAACCCCTCGTGCACGTCGGTGCTCAGGTCCAGCTTCAGCTGGAGCTCATATAGCCTGACTCGAACCACCCAGCCTATCAGAGATCTCCCTACCTTACCACGGATTCGGTCGGAACTTGACCGGCCTGCAATCGATGACCTTTTCGGCTTCCGGTGAGGTTTCACTCTCCTCCGTTAGGTCGGGTTCGGCATGCCGTAATGCCGCAAGAGAGAGACGTTGCTTGCTGTCTACCCTCAAGCTCACATTGTAAACCCAGATAATAGAACCTCAGGAACATCGTCAGGACGTAACAAGAGCATTATATGCACTCCCACAGTAAAATATCACAACAGCCACAAGAATAATAATGCAACCCGACCACACAATCCCGGCATCTCAGCCTACGTAGTATCCCGAAAGCGAGAGACACTGACAGAGAGCATCACGCAACCCACTCACCGAGCCCGAGGAAAAGCCAGCCAACCAACCAACCCTGTCAATACCCAAACCAAACCTAAATTGACCTAACCAGAAAGAAAAAAAAAATGAAAAGAAAAACTCTCTTCGACCCATCCCGTCCGTCCCACTATCTACTCAACAAAGCCACCGAAGGAAAAAAAAAAATCTTCCCTCCCAGGAAAGGTAAGTAAACAGCGTAGGTAGGTAGCAGGTTCCACCAGCCAGCGTTTCACCACCTCAGACAACACACCACACCTGACGTAATTGCCTCATCCCAGATTCTACTACCTACCTACCTACTTACTTGTTCTCCAACAGCAAACAGAAAATAATGGAAAAGAGTTACTCCCGTGAATCAAAACCATAATAGTAGTAGTAGTACTACATACTTTTAGCCACAGCGGGACGGGATGTTGCAATATGTTGTGTGAGAGGGCGGGTAGGTTGGTTTTTTTTTCGCTGCATGATGCTGCTTCGGGAGCTGCTAGCTGGACTCGGAACAAGAGTAGTGGCCACCGTAAGTCGTACCAGCTCTCTTCTTTTTCCTTGCTAGGGTCTAGATTTTTCAAGGAACAGGGGTCGGGTCGACCCATGCATGGAATCTTTGGGTGGAATTGGCTTATGAGAGGGGAGAGGGGTGTGGGTTTTTGGTTATTAGTAAGAGTATTGATTAGGTAGGAAGTGCTGTCAGGGATTTTGTGAAGAGTTTTTGAGGTGACGGTGCGATGGGACGTTGCCAGGGCTGGTTGTTGTTCTTTCTGGTGGTAGTGGTGGTGATAGTGGGAAGCTTGAATAGGGTCAGGAGGATGGATGGATGGAGGGATTGTGTCATGTGGTGTGGTGTATGTGGAATGGATGTTATTGTTGGGTTGGTATTATTGTATGGGTAGATGTCAGTTAGACTACCCTACTAAGTACTTGGCAAAGAGAGCCGCAAGCTGAGGATCATGATATCATTCGGCTTTCTCTCTCTCTCTCTTCGTCTTTTGGTGGTCACTTTTTGACTGCTTCTATCTACGTAGTAGTTTACCTCTGAAAACCTTGGAACTAACTAGACTACTAATCTTGACAGTTAAACGTGCCTGGCTAAGCTTCAATAGATACTACTATTCATCAAAGGCAAATGTGGAAGGTGATCTACTTATCTATCTGATCGTCTGTACCACGTTCCAGGACCACCTAAGCTGTTCTATATATAAGACTCCTCGTCTTCTTTCCGAGTCTCCTCCCCTACGGAGGATTTATCGCACGCCATTCTATTCTCCGAGTGAAGAAACCTATTTACTCCTAGTACTGCACTATCCATGCAGGAAATTCTCCTCAGGTCGGTAGTGTAGCACTGTCGCAGTCCCACAGGGTCCCTCTTCACCCTTATCTGCAAGTCATCAGAGAAAGAGAGAACCGAGACACAGACACAAGATTTATTCACCGACGGTGGTCCCAAGATTAGGACGGATGGGCCCCCATCCATCTGGTCCAGCCCGATTGAGTTCAGGTCAGTTATGCTTTGGGATGTGCAGATTCCGAACTCCGAGATCTCGGTGGATATTTGCATATCTGCACTGCATTGCATTGCTTTGCACTGGATCATGCTCTGTAGTGCGCATTGGACAGATTGAGCGGAGACTATACCTTAGATCGTAAAATAAAGAGCACCGAGGTAACTGCGAAGCGAGGATCTTCCCCTTCCACATTATTAGATTAATCCGTACTTTATGCTATCTGTTTCTGCTAAACATAGTATATCATCTCATCTTTGGTGCTGTCGATCATGGATTGCGTAGTCACCAACCCCCTGGTCGGAGGTTTGATTGGCCCTATCGACAGACACCACACACCACGTGTAGGTTAGTAGAGTACTTTGTAAAAGGTAAGGTCCATCCGGACCTGTGCCCTCCGTTGAAGATAAGATGCGGCCCGCTCCTATCTGGACGGTCTTCGATCTGGCTCCATAGCTGCATGCACCTTTCACCGAACTCCGAGACTCTTCGTTCGCCACACGTCCCCCAGTGGATTCAGATTCAGTTCAGGGTTCAGTTCACACACAGACACTCTCCCCCACCGGCTCGTTCTTCTCCATACTTCCAAATCCGTTCCTTTCTTTATCTCTCCCCCTTACCCCAGATTGACCGGCAAACGCACGTGAGTCATCATTTAGAAGCGACTGCCAAGCACCTTAGGTGCTCTTCTTGCCCTTCTCGCGCTCGGCCTTGCGCAGAGCACGCTTCCGGATAGACTCGTGCATGCCCTTGTTCTGGCCAACGACAATCTTGCCCATGGTCCCGGTAACGCAGGTCAAGAACCAGGCCATCAATCCGTGGCTCCAGTAGGGGGAAGAGCTGTACGCGTACGTGGGAGATCCGCCATTGCGGCCAATCTTAGTCAAGACCGACTTCACGAATGAGCGGGGGTCGGGGATCGTAGCACTAGTCCGGCGGATCTTGGACATAGCAGAGGTAATAAGGTAGGCCTGGACCAACTCGACAGTAATTCCGTAGGGCTCGAGCTCCGAACCAAGGGAAGTGGACCATTGCTGCAGGAAAGCCTTGCTGCCGGAGTAGGTAGCCAGAAGAGGGGTAGGGAGAAGTCCACCGAACGAGCCCATAGTCAAGACCAATCCGCGCTTGCGCTGCATCATACCCGGAACGACCAGCTGGGTTGCCCGCAAGGTACCCAGGCAGTTGATGGTCACGATATCAGTCATCTCATCCTCGGGAGTCAGAGCGAAGGGAGTAGGGATGCTGTGACTCTTTCCAACGTTGTTGACCAGAACGGACACGTCCAATTCGTCCACCAGTTCCTTCAGCTTCTCGTAGTCGCTGTCGTCGTTGCGGGCGAAGTCCATCGCCAGGGTCTTGGTCTGCACGGACGGGAACTTGGATGTGATCTCATTGGAAAGGGTATCGAGCTTGGAGGCGGTACGGGAAACGAGGAGGATGTTGAAGTCAGCGCGGGCGAGCTGAAGAGCAAATTCCTTGCCGAGTCCATCGGAGGCACCTGTGACCACGGCCCAGCTGCCCTTAGGGCCGAAGGAGCGGAGCTGGAAGAATGAAAATCAGCGACATATACTCCAATTGATATTTATGAGGGACAACATACAGGCTTGCCAGGGAGCACAAACAAGCTCAAGAGGACCCTGACGAAAACGAGTGCGCGAGAGACGACGAACAAGCTGCCAGCGGCGAGAAGAGCCGAGGCGCCCACGGTCTGCCAGCCAGGCTGCAGGTTCAACTGGAAGTTGGACAGACAGTCCAGATGCTTTGTCAGAAACTCCATGATTGCTTGTTGTTCAACCCGTGCCAATTGAAGATTGTGGGGATGGAAGCTGGCTGCAGAAAGTAGAATCCGGAGACGGACGGAGATGCGGCAGCAATCATAAAGGCAGAATAATGGTTGGGGATGGGCGGTGCCAAGACCCCCCAAGCGGACAGACCTCGGCCACTCCAAAGAAGCAATATCCTCATCCCAATTATCAGTCTTTCCCAACCAATTAATCCTCCACAACTCTATCTCTCTGCAGCCAATTCTGTCAAACTCTCCGGAGTACAACTTCGCATAGTCATCATGGCCGCTCTTCTCTCCTACCTCCCCCCCTTCGAGGGTCTGCTGCCCAAATGGCTCTTCTTGGTACAAACCCCCATTTGTCTACAACTACACTTCCGTTCCCCGGACCGACCCCATGCTAACCCGACCACTTTTTCTCCATTCAGGTCTCCGTCGTCTCCGCCGCAAACAGCATCCAAGCCTACCGATCGGAGTCCTATGCCGCAGATCTCTACAACGGAAAAACTGCTGAAGGTCGCCCGCACACCAACCCCCTCTCTTCTCGGACTTTCGGCACATGGACTTTTCTTTCCTCCGTAGTCCGCATTTACGCCGCCTACAACCTCAACAACCCGGCTGTCTATGATCTCGCGCTCTGGACTTTTGGCATTGCCCTGGCACACTTTGTCGGCGAGTGGTTGGGCTTCGGTAGTGCGCAGCTTAAGGGTCGTTTCGTTAGCCCTTTGATTGTTGCTTCGTCCACGCTGGCTTGGATGTTGACGCAGAGGGAGGCGTATCTGGCTGCTTAGGTTGGGCTGGATATTAATTGTAATTTGCCGGGTTTGCGGCTGGTTGCTTTTCGATGCATGCTCTATTTCTTAGCGCAGGGACAAGCTATGGATCGGCTAGGTTATGATCATATCAATAATGTAATGAAAAGGCAAAGAAATAGTTGTGAAGATCTATGCTCGGTCAAGGCACGGGGTCTAGTCCGCGTATTCTACGTAAGATGAACTAAAGTGTCGGTTCTGGCCGACCAGTATACCCACGAGCCAATACCAGCGCACGTAGAAGACAAAGAATCGACATTGGACGATTCATTCAGTGAGAGGAGAACCATGTTTCACCTCCTAAGGTTAATTCTAGATAGGTAAAGTTACGCCGAGCCCACAGCTCAGCCGCTCCATAGCAGTTCACTGGTCGGAGTTATGCTACGGAGTATGTAGCTGAGCTGTGGGGAAATCGAAAAGGACGATCATGATGATGCAGGAGCTGGCAAGGGATAGAGGCTGAGCTGAAGTAAGGGTGCAAGTCATTAATGGCGCGTGGGTGATGAGACACGCATATACGATTAGCTCCCTTTCTCGCAGGGGTATGACAGGAGTCGACACAGATCCGAAACATAGAAGCCGGCCGGGACTGGTCCGATGGACCCACGAACGCAGGTATTCGTTGCTGTCACAACACATAGGTATACAACATCCAATCCAGTTTAATCCAATATTCTCTGTTCTTAGTCCATCTTCTTCCTGTAGAGCTCTCCTCCGCAGCCTCGCAACCTCGC